CTCTGTTGGAGTTGTGACTCTAGTTTCCTCCCGTAGCGCTGCTTCGCCTCTTTCACCGCCCTCCGCACGTTATATGACGCGGCTTTGTACAGGTCCATGTCCCCCGTCGTGAGTTTCTCTGTGAATTTCACATTCTTCTGGCAACGTGCTAGGTGCTTGCTCAGATTTGAAGTTTTTTTCTCTAGAAAGTTTCCTTCCCATGCAGAGTGTACGGCAGACACTAATGTTTTTGTCACATTTTACAGAATCAAACTCAAATAATGTCAGTACTTCCGAGCTTTAAATGCTGCATAGTCGTACTCTCTCCTGCACTCCATGTTATCCATTGTTGATCTGCACACTTCTTTTGTTGCCAAGGACGTCGCACACTCGTACGTCATTGTCATTCGACATTCTCACAAACAAAATCACAGTTTAGTAACGCAGCGTGCTTACAGGAAAGTATCAGTAATCTAATGACTTTTTTGCAATAGTAATCCCTTATTTTACTCGTTACTTGAAAAAAGTACTGCCCATCTCTGACAGTTACCTGCAATGCCATTTTCTGACTAACAGATGGCACTCTTACAAATACCAAATCTCATTTGACTGCAGTTTGTATCAGAGGAGTTCTTGTGTCCAGTCACAGGTATCAGTGACAGTGAGAGATGTGAGTAACTCATGATTCATAAAAATAAGGTGCCATTTGGTCTGCATAGCATAATAAACATGTATATTTGCTTATTTTTCAAAGGAAAGGTCCATGTGATTTCTGTTATCATTTACTGTATTTTTCTTTATTGTTCTGGATGAGGCATTGATTAAACTGAATGCCAACAATTTACTGCATTTTTATTATAAGAATATGGACTAACCGTGTATATTTACATTATGCTCACATGGCTGTACATTGTGCTTCTGGCATGCCAGAGTGTCCCTTATTTGACAGTTAAAAAGTTGGCAACCTTACCCCACACACATTGCCAACTTCAGACTTCCCGAACAATTCTTTGCTTTAGGCTTTAAAGTGAAACTCTCAGCACAGACTATAAACCTTGTCTGATCTCCTGCATTTCTCACCTGAAAATCTACCACGTGAAAATTCCTGTCCAAAACCTTTTTCCCCATTCTGGTCTTCTTAGGCACCAAATGCCAATAATCACACCCATATGTCAAAGGGTAATCATCAGCCAACACGGTGGTTTCCACAGCAGGTTTCAGTTTTTGTTTATATAAGTAGTGTTACTTCATTATTAATTAATCATGTTGTGATTTTGTATCTCTTCCTGAAAGTTTTGTGTCTCTTTATGGTTATTTTGTGTGTTTCGTGGTCATTGTGCACCTACTATGGTGCACAATGACCACGTTTGGACTGATTTTGCATCAGTGTGTAATTTGCATTTCATTGTAGATGGTTTGTCTAATATTGGCCCTCCCTGTGGCAGTTTTGTTTATCTTTGTTTAGTTTTTCCCTTTGTTTGGTTGGGGTTTTTTTTTGTTTGTTTGTTTGTTTGTTTGTTTTTCTGTTTGAACCTTTTAATCATTATTTGAATGACTTATCAACAACAGTGTTGAGAGGTTCAGGACTTGAGCCACCAACTCGTTTGGTCCCTTAGTTAGGTTAGCGTCTGAAGAAAAGTATAAAAACTCTGCACTCACCCTGTGTTTGGTGTATAACAGCCATAATCACATCAGAATTGGTATGCCTCTTCTCCCTCTCTCCACATGTTTTTCTTCTGTGCGATCTTTCTTCATAATGGGAGGAGCTCATGTGGCTCAGTTCCAAACTTGATGGCAATACCTGGAGGTTGCTCAACTGCTTCCTAGAATTATATTCTTCATTCATTGTTTTTTTTTTACATTCAGATTGCTGTTCTTTATCTGACTCTCTAGATTTGAGGATAGCTTTTTGTACCTTCTTCTGGGCCAACTGTTGATTTGAATGGGTGTGCACACAGTACATGCTGATGTTTGATAAAAATGGAACAACATTGAGTATGAATGTTTCTGTCAGTTACCAAGCATGACAACACTGCTCTGCATACAGATGGGTTACATTTTCAGTATGAGTATGAATGAGCTAAATGTCAGCATTAGTCATCCAAGTTTACAGGCCTTAATTAAAATTTAGGTTTGCATTGTGGTTTTCTCAAGAAAACTTTCACTGAAATGATTAAAAATCAAGAGTTTTATAGGCACCACCACATGTGGCTGCAGTGTATATTATTGAAAACGGACAACAGAAATCAGTGTTAAGTGTTACATGTTGATATTTATGGTACCTGGGGCTGCAGGAGTGGCAGCTTGTAGGAAGAGAAACTTGACGATGATGACGACGTTGATGAAGATATCCATCGTAACCCAGTCAGGCCAGTCATAAGGAATCTGGTTTGGGAATCAGGAAGTGGCATCGCATCTAGTTTCCGAGACGACACATGGGCCTTCGCTATTGTCTGTTGTTTGCCATCGAATTTACATACCAGTACCACTGTCAATGAGTCCACCACACCCTGCTGCTCACTTCACACACACAGCTGCCCATGTGTCATTCACAAAGGCACCATTCAACATCGAAGTTAGAACAATGGACACTGCAGACTGATCAAACTTCCATACAGCTGTTAAGAAGTTCATTTACAGGTTCTGCTATACTAAGAACCTGCTATGCTATGCTTACGAACCATGCCTTTTTTTCCTGTTTATTTGTATAAAAACTCTTTAAACTGCTTTAAATATACAACCGCAGGTGTCTGCATTGGACATTTCTGTTCTCGAGTTAGTTGTCCCTCTATTACCACAGGGCTTTAGGGGACCGGTTTAGCCGGTTATGTGGGATTTCAGCAGAACAGGAATATCAAGGGAGAACTTGCCCAGGCCTCTCTGTTTCTGCTCCTCAAGGGGACGACCGCCCTGACCGGTTTTCTGGGGTGGAGAGAAGAGATAGAGGCAGAGTGTGAAGAGGAGGAGGGTGTATGTGGGGCGTTCTCCTTCAACTCATTCTATTCTCATTCTTTTCTTTATCACACTTGGTCTCCTGCCGCCTGCATTTCACTACGTCCAGCTGCGGAAAAGAAGCGTTGGCTAAGGTAGAAGCGGCTGAGAGAGAGGCAGTCACTGGCTGTTTTGGTAAGTGGGAATTGATTTGGCTCTGAGTTGTTGCCTGAGGACGAGGATAGACTTGCTGACAGGTGAGCAGCTTTGGCAGGGATTGAGCCAACACAGAGAACAGGAAACAATCATGACCTTACTTTGGGGGCAATTACACATTTACTTCACATTGTGTTACACAATGTATTCATTTACAACCCATAAATATAAATAAATACAAAGCACAGAGTTCTTTCATAAGGACACCTCTAGGGTTTATTTGAGGAGTTCAGAGAAAAGATATGTATTTAGAAGCTTTGTGGTCTTGAATTAAAATGTCTCTGTAATCATTCAGAATTAGTTCAATCTAAGTATATGGTCTTATTACATGCACGATTAAAGCTAGCTTAGCAAGCAGAAACCCTGCCTGCTCTTATTTGTTTCGAACAGCATCAGCTGACATTGTGCGACAGCAGTGACTGAGGACTGAACCACAAAACTTCCTGTCTCTCTCACACACACACACACACACACACACAGCTCACCTCTGGTTTTGAACAGAAAATGTCCTGTGCTGATGGGAGGTGTTTTTAATCCCTGTGTTAAAGCTGCAGTAGTGAAATGTGCCTCCAGTGTGCTCTTTATCTCTCTCTTAAGGTGTGTGCCATCTAGAACTACGTGTTTGCACATAACGTGCTAATGCTTCTGTCAACAGTCAGAAACGTGTGATGCAGTTAGCTCGTCAGAGCTAGTAGCCTGGAAATTCAGTGTAATTTCATAAATAATAATTTGTGTGTGTGT